AAAAGAGGATTAGAGCAGTTGTTGGACGAGGAACTGGAGGTACACAAGAAGATTAGGCTGAGTCTAGGAGAGGTAACAGAGATACCATCTGACATAAAGGCGGGATTGCTTTGCCAATCCCGCCAAGAAAAATGAGGCTAATAAGTTGGAACTGCCGGGGATTGGGGAATGGCCCGGTAGTTCGTGGACTTCTGGATGTCCAGAAGAGGGAGGCCCCAGATATCCTTTTTCTGCCAGAGACAAAACATGACAGAAAACGGATGGAATGGTTTTATTGGAAGTTGGAGATGCCAAATATGGTGGCAAAAAGTAGCAACGGTACAAGTGGAGGTTTGGCTCTTTTTTGGAGGAGGGATATTGATGTTACAGTAAAGAGTATGTCAAAGTATCATATTGATGTGGTGATCAAAGAGGATGGATGGAAATGGAGATTTACAGGCATATATGGAGAATCAAGAAATGAAGAGAAGGAAAATACATGAGGACTACTACGACTGTTGAAGAAGAAGAATAACCAACCATGGTTGTGCTGTGGTGATTTTAATGAGATTTTGTTCAATTATGAGGAGGGAGGGCCCCCAAGGGTGGAAAGATGTATGGAGGATTTTCGTAAGGCACTAGAAGACTGTGACCTCCATGATTTGGGATTTACGGGAGATCCGTTTACTTGGAGAAACAACCACCATGTAGCAGCAAGTTACATAAGGGAAAGATTGGCCCGGGCGGTGGCTAACAGTACTTGGCGTAATAATTCCCCCTTGGTTAAGGTGATAAATGGTGACCCTTGGCATTCCGATCATAGGCCAGTTATCGTAGACGTGGGGGATAGAGCTTTTAGGAGGTCTGGAAGTTCGATGAAGGTGTTGAAGAAATTTGAGGCAAGATGGTTAGAGGAGGAGGAATGTTCTGAAATAGTTGAGCAGGCATAGAAAGTAGCCATGGAAAAAGGAAAAACGTGTGTGATGGATATACAAGGGGAGGTGCTGGAGGAGTTGTGGGTATGGGATAACAATGTGTTAGGTGAACTTGAGAGAAGAATAAAGAAGGTGAAGAAAGATTTGGAGAGTTGGAGGCGGCGGTGTATATCACAAGAACAAGTGAACCGGGAACATTCGTTGCGGTATAAGCTTGAACGCTTACAGGATCAACTGAATGTCCACTGGAAGCATAGAGCTCACACCGCTTGGTTGCTGAAGGGAGACCGAAACACCAAGTTCTTTCATGCTTATGCCTCTAAACGGAAAATGAAGAATACAATTAAAAATTTGAAGGATGAAGGGGGTGGAGTGGTGGCGGGGGAAAGGTTGAGAAATTTTATTGCTAACAACTACCAAAATCTTTTTCTATCTAATGTAGGCGGTCAAGCTGAGGAGATATTAAATTGTGTGCAGCCATGCGTCTCACAAGATATGAATGATTATCTCCTCTCCCCTTTCATTGGAGAAGACGTGTGGGCTGCACTCGAGAGTATTGGAGACCTAAAGGCACCAGGAGCAGACGGGATGCCATCTATTTTTATAAGAAATTCTAGCCTATCGTTGGTGACCATATTAAATCTGAGGTGTTGAATGTCCTAAATGGAGGAGTTATGCCATAAGGATGTAATGATACGGTAATTGTGCTGATTCCCAAGGTTAAAAATCCAGAGAAGATTGGTGATTTACAACCAATTAGCTTATGCAATGTGCTATACAAGCTAATCTCCAAGGTGCTAGCAAATAGGCTTAAGAAGATCCTACCAGATATTATATCACCCACTCAGAGTGCCTTTGTTCCAGGTCTTCTAATTACAGATAATGTTCTCTTGGCGTATGAGTTCACGCACTATCTGAATACTAAGAGAAAGGAAAAGGAAGGCGTGGCTGCAATTAAATTAGACATGAGTAAAGCATATGATAGACTGGAATGGTCCTTTTTGCGAACTATGATGTCTAAAATGGGTTTCTATGAACGGTGGATCAAGCTGATTATGGGATGTGTATCAACAGTGACTTATCAAATTAAGGTCAATGGAGAATACACAACTAGAATTCATCCGCAACGTGGGCTAAGACAAGGTGATCCTTTGTCACCCTATTTGTTCATCTTATGTGCGGAGGGTCTGTCGGCCATGCTGCAAAATGCTGAAGCAGAGGAAAAGATCAAAGGGTTCTGCATTTGTCGTGGTGCACCGAGAGTAAATCACCTTTTCTTCGCAGATGATTCCCTGATTTTAATGCAATCTAGATACAGTGATGCTTTTGAATTAAGACGCATCTTGTCAATATACGAGAGGGTGTCTGGGCAAGTTATTAACAAGGATAAGTCCTCAATACTATTTAGTCCAAATTCAGGAACTCAAGTCAAGGGGCAGATTCGGGGAATCCTGGGAATATCACAGGAAGCTAAAATGAGAAATACCTAGGTCTCCCGGTGTCAATTGGCAAATCTTGCAAAAAAGCTTTTGAGTACATAAAAGGGAAGTTATGGGCACGGATTCAAGGTTGGCAAGAGAAACTCCTCTCCAAGGCTACGAAAGAAATTCTTGTAAAGACTGTTGCACAGGCCATTCCCACGTATGCCATGTCATGTTTTGACTTGACCAAAGGATTGTGTGATGAATTAAGCACTATTATTGGGCGATATTGGTGGAGCCAACAAGACAACGTAAACAAGATTCACTGGTTAAGTTGGGAGAAACTTACCAGGTCAAAGAAGAAAGGAGGATTAGGGTTTAGAGATTTATATTTATTTAACCAAGCAATGTTGGCCAGACAAGCATGGAGGTTATTAACATGTCCGGAAACATTGTGTGGACGAGTCTTGAAAGCTAAATATTTCCCAAACAAGAGTATTCTGCATTGCAGTGTCCGGGCTGGTGTTTCATACTCATGGCGAAGTATTCTACACGGACTGGACCTTTTAAGGGATGGTATTATTTGGAGAATTGGAGGGGGGAATTCAGTTAATATATGGTCCAATCATGCCGAAGGGACGCTCACTGCTAACAAAAGTTTCAGACCTCATTGATCCTGCTTCCGGTACATGGGATGAGCAACTGGTGATGGATACATTTTGGCCGGAAGACGCACAAATTATCGTGGCAATTCCGACTGATCCGCAAATGGAGGATTGGCCGACCTGGTACTATGATTCAAATGGACTTTTCTCAGTCAAGTCTGCATATAAACTGGCTGTGCAAATCAGGGATAGCAAATTGAATAAAGATGCATCATCATCAAGTTCAGGAAGCTTACAGCAAGGGAATTTCAAATGGCATCGAATCTGGCAGCTGAAACTTCCTAATAAGGTGAAAATGTTTGTATGGAGGTTAACTCACAACAGCCTACCGGTACGCCGTAATTTAGCAAGGAGAGGAATTAAATTAGATACTTTGTGCCCATTGTGTTGTCGTCTTGATGAAGATTGTGGTCATCTTTTTTTCAAGTGTAAATGTGTAAAGGAATGTTGGCGAGCATTGGTGTCTGAACATATAAGAGTTATGCTTGAAGGCTGTAAATCTGGTAAAGAAACTATAAGCCTGATCCTTGACATGGAACCAAAGGCGCAAGAGAAGACTCTAATCTTTATGTGGAAGTGGTGGTCAGCAAGGAATAAAACAAATGAAGGCCGACAAATGGCTACCACGTCGGAAATTTGCAGTTCTGTGCTCTATCATTTGATGGAATGGGAGAAGCTTCAGAACCGGTCCCTCCCTGTAAAGTCAAAGCATCAACTCAAATGGAAACTACCACCAACTGGCTTTTACAAGCTTAATTTTGATGCGTCCTTTCATCTTAATTCGGGCACGGATGGCTGGGGAATGGTTGTGAGAAATGCAAAGGGGGAGGTTCTGGAGGTGGGAGTGGGACGCCTACAACACCTATCTTCTCCTCTACACGCTGAAACTTTGGCGGCAATGCGGTGTTTGGAACGTGCTACACATTGGGGTATGTCTCATGTACTGTTGGAGACAGATTCTACATCTCTCAGTGAAGCCATGTCTTCTCCAAACTGGGATAGAAGTCCCCTAGGGTCATTATTCAAGCAAATTCGAGATTTGATGCGTTCTGAGTTTGTAATTTGTAAAGTCTCGGTTTGCAGTAGAGTATGTAACAGGGTAGCAGATTGTTTAGCTACCTATGGTGCTAGCTCAGTTGTTGACAATTCTCACATATTTCTTGATCATGCACCAGACTTTGTAAATGAACTTGTCTCCGGAGATATGCCTGGAGATAATGTTTAATGGAAGCACTTGTTTCCGAGTTAAAAAAAAAAAAAAAAAGCGGCGCCCTCCCTCCCACTTGCGCGCGCCTCTTTCGTCCTCTCATCCGGCCAACCGCCGACGCAAATCAGATCCACTAGCTGCTGGTGCTGGGAGACCAAATCGATGCATCCTTGGCACGCCGCCCCGTCGCACCAATGACGGCCACCGTCGGCCCGTCGCTTCCCGTCCGTGCACAATGCCGACTTGCCGAGCTATCGAGTTGGCCCGTAACCCGTCAGGCCATCCATCGGGCGAGCCCATGCTAATATTTACAGCCCGAGGCTCAGATCAGGTCGGGTCGAGAATGGGCCAAGGAGAAAATCAGCAGGTTTTTTGTGGCCCGACCTGAACCCGGCCCAACCTATGGTCAGCATCCTGAACATTATGAAACTCATGGGTTTAAAAATTGATCCATACCCAGTGTGTTCTAATAATGGGGTAAACACCAATCGGATTTTGTTTTCATAGGGTAAAAACCAATCGTATTTTGGATTCCTTACGCATCAAGCCAAAGGAAGACGGCGTTGATACACCAGTTTCATTGGAGGTAGGTAGTACCATTAGCCTAGTCATCATCAAACCTCAATCAGATCACACAGACTAGAAGGCAACCCTCTTTTGTAAAGGGCACATGCCATCAAAGCAGGAAATCCGCGGATAAGTAAGTGGCTTGCGCATCATTTCTAAGAAATCAAGACGTTGCCTATACTCAGACTCAGTGCCACAAACATGAATAATCCAATGTCAACTGCACTTACAATTCAATTGGAAAAAAGATTAGCCCCCCAACATGTTCATTCTTCTGCCCTTGCTGCTTGTTAACGGACTGCACGTGAACTAACAAAGCCAAGCACAAGGGCCGAACAAGCGGTATGCTTGATCATCTCATTTGGACTATCCCAGCGCTTACAAGCTTCTGAATCTTCTGCATAACTCCGGGGTTCTTCAGGTGCTCCTGGGCTGCCCTTGGGTTCTCCTGGAAATCAGTTAGCACCTGCGGAACATGACAACATCATTAGCAGGCCGGTATAGTAAGTTTTGACACAAGATACCCTCGAGTTCAGGAACTCTATGGTACCTGTCGCATGATAGGGTCGGTAAGAATGTTCTGGATCTCTGGATCTTGCATAGCTTTGTTCTGCAAAAACAGCATGAAGAACAGTTAACTGAATCTGAACTTTTGAAGCTGCAAATACCAACGAAAACAGAAACATACTACAATATGGTTACCTGTCTTTCTTGCAATTCGTCCTGACTTATTTCACCTCTGTTGGCCTTGTTGATCTGCTCAATACACCTGCATTACCAAAAAAAAGGTTAGCATGCTGTTTATGCAACATACACTGAGCAATCAGATTACTGGTATTGCATAAGCTTTGATACCTCCTAACACCATCAAGCAGTTCCTGGTTATTTGGGTCATGCTTCAAGCCAGCCTGGTAGGTTTCCATGGCCTTGTCATATTCTTTCATGAAGAATTGAATTGCACCTTTCCTTGTATACCCTTTGGTGAAGGTGGGGTCTAGTTCAAGACACTTCTCCGCGTCTTTAAGACCTTCAGGCATGGCTCCTAACTTGGTGTAGGAGGCAGCCCTATTGCTGTAAACCTGTAGACAAATAACATTTGAAGATCAATTACAGGCTGCAAGTAAAACATGTAAGCCTATACAGACACGGCTACAAAGTGCAACAACATTAAGGAGCTCAATATATAACAGCAGAAAGAAACATATTATGGATTAAATTATTACATAGATCAGGTAATATTTGCTTAACTCAGAATCAATTAAATAGCAAAAAACATGAGCACACAAGACATCAATAACAAGCTCCAACAAGTTAGAGCTACCAGCTAGCTCTAAGGCCTAGTCACACCCACCTCAATAAGAGCTAGCTTAAAAGATTAGGCCTTGATCTAGCTTTTACACATTGCTCAAAGCTACATCAATAACAATTCTCCAATGATCTAGCTTTTACACATTGCTCAAAGCTAATGTGGTTCTGTACGGCATGCGTGGTTCTCAGGCAAGCACTAGCCTAGCCTTGACCAGCAAGGAAGCTAAGGGATTTGCAGCTTTTCCTTGCTCGAGCGGCTGAGCCGATTCGGCTCGCCTCCGCCGGCAAGATTGGGGCAAGGCTAGAGGGCAAGGCATCCAAGCAGGCCCGTAAGTGATGAACAACTAACCATCAAGAGGCGTTCAAAAGAGGCTAGCTCATCACAAAGAGCCCTTCTCCCTCCACATACGGGAAAATGACAATATGAATTGTATGAGCTAGCTGAGCTGAGTTGGCAATTGGCATTGTTGGAGGTTGCACACCCATCATTGTTACAACAACCAAGTAATTCAAAGTAACCTAGAATAAACAGAAAGGGAATTACCTCAATTTGTAGAGTTCATGTGATGCGACCGGTGTTTTTGGATATTAAGTTGGAATGGAAAAGGGATATGAGTGTGGCTTATGAGGTGTGGATTTTGGTTTGTGAAATCAACATAATTTCCCATTCCCTTGTTTGGCACCTACCTATGGGTATGGGTTGGGGAAATAGAGGGGAAATGACAAAAGCATCATATCCTTTTCCATAAGGTGGCGTTTGGATACAATTTGGGAAAGGGATAGGGAAATAGGTGGGTTATGGTGGATTGGGTTATGGCCTGGTTATGAGATCCATATCTCCTATTCCCTTGTTTGGCAACTTGGTTTGGGATAGCAGCACAATGTGGGACCCACTCGCTACTTTGCTAATAAAAAAATAGCCTGAACTCGATGGTGCTCGGCCTTCAATCTCCGTGAAGATACGCATCCAGATTCCAGGCATCCAGCATGCGAATGATAGCGCCGTGGCCTGGCTTGTTCCTGCTCCTGCGTCGCCATCCCTCTCGCCCAGGAGCAAACCAGCGTGCGAGGCTTCGCAGCAGCCGTGCAAGGCGAGGGGCCGCTGGTCGGCATGCGAGGCGAGCGGCGTCCGTGCGGGGCGAGCGGCGGCTGGACGGGTGCGAGGCAAGCGGCGGCTGGACGGGTGCGAGGCGAGCTGCGGATCGACGGTGTGCAAGGCGAGCGTCGGATCTGAAGCAGGCGCCACACACAGGAATATCTTCCTTCACGCCGTCGCGGTTCTCAGCCTACCACCGCTTCGCCGGCGTCGTTTCCCAGCCTAACCCACCCTCCTGGTTGGGACGAGATAACCTTCCAATTTCCCTTTCCCAGTTCTACAGTACATCCCTTTCCCACACTTTCCAAACGCCACCTAAAGGTATTTTTTGGGTCAATTTTACAAATCATAACCCAATTCCACCCTCACAACCCAGCCCTCATGGTGGGATAGAAACAATGAGATATGAGGAGCACATATCCCTATCCCAAACCAATATCTTTTCCCATAACCATAATCCGAACAGTGGAATAAATCTAACCTATCCATCATTTCCCTTCCCACCCTTCATAAACCAGTTGCCAAACACCACCTAATTTTCAAATTAGGTGCAATACCATCTAGTTATTGCAGCAAACACCATTTGTGTCTAACCAGCAACCAACAGTGGATGGTTCAGGTTGAAATGTTGAATCAAGGAGTCAGGAGTCAAATCATAGTTTATCAGCAAAGCGAATGTTCAACAAAGAAGAAAAAGTGTATAGTTACAATTTAGAAGAGAGACAACAGAAATCAATTGCATTTTCCATGTTGAAGACCAAATGCTGAGTTAAGTAGCTTCATATAAGAGCAAGAATCCTTTTCAAGTCAACCAAGAAATGCATCTCTTATCTTCTAGTGACCATTCTTATCTCAGACATTCTACCCTATCGCATTCTCTACTATGCAAACCAAGGCACTAGGCGAACCACTCAGCATCAGCACAAATCCTGCCCTTTAGCTACCCACCACACCACGAAAACACAGACATGACAAGCCATATAAGGATGTGGAAAAAAAATGAATGATTTAGTCTTATTTTCCATTTGGTAAAGGATATATAGTCAGTACTTGTATTACACAAACAATCAAGTCATGTAACTGAATATCAATGACCAAGTTTCCCAAATTTTCATATGTTATACTCTAACAAAGGTAGACTGTGAAACAGAGGTAGAAGAATTACCCTAGGATCCTTCGGGTTTCTCCTGAGAGACTCTGTGTAGTGTTTTATTGCTTCTGGGTATTTTTGCTCCTTGAAGAACTCGTTACCTACAAATCATAAGACAAATTACAAAACTATAGGAGAGGAACAACCATCACCTGTCCTAGAGATGACATTATAAAACTTACATACCTTTCTCTCTCTCCTCATCTGCTAATTTTGGATCATAGTACTCTTGTTGCTCCAACTCTTTCTTTGCTCTCTCAGCCTCATTTAACTTTTTAAGAGTGTCTGGGTTACGATGCTCAGTTAGAGCCTTCTGGAAGGTCTCGATGGCAATATCAAAATCCTTAGAGGTCTTAGCAAGTTTGACCAGAGCTGTTCCTTTTCTTGTCAGTGCCCTTGAAATCATCTTGAAATCAGCACGGAGCTCTCTCCCCCTCTCCACAGCCTTATCGCAGTCCTTGATGCATTCATCGTACTGCAGGTAAAAGATAATATTAATGCATTACAGCGACAACTTTGGCTACCAGAAGTAAAAGAGGGCTATAGACTATCTAGCAAAAAAGAATATGTGATATTTCGGGCATAAGGCACAGTTAAATCGTGTAATGCTCCCTCCGTCCATTTATCGGACTCGCTTTAGTCTCTTGCGCGATGACCAAGGGAGGGTTGAAGGAGCACCGATTATCATTTAATCATGGCTTTGTACTAAATGCACCGTGGGCTGTTGAGTTTCTGAGTAATCCCTCCGCTAACACCACTCAAAACGGCGTTACCACGCGTCCGCGCCAGAATCGCGAGCGTCTGCAGCCAGCATCGCGTGCTTGCCATCCGCAGCCCTTCCTTTTTCCGTTTTGCCACGTCAAAATGCCGAGATCATCTCCTTTTTTGCCGCCGTCATCCTTGAGTCCGCCCAAATTAAAAATTTGCCGAGATCATCTCCAAAATTAGCCGCGCTCCCTCCAAAATTAGCCGCGCTTCCTTCAAAATTTCGAAAAAACTAGCAGTACTGTTGTGTAGAAAATCAAGTGTTAGCGAAAAAACTAGCAGTACTGTGCTTAGTCCGGCAACAATTATCATCCCTTTTTTTTGCAAATGTAATGCATCTTCAACATGAAAGTTATCATCCATTAGCAACAATATAATCCCTTGTTTTTCAAATGCAATTCATCTTGAACATGAAAATTTTCATCCATTAGCTAAAAAAACTTACAGTACTGCTAACAGTAATGCATCCCTTGTTTCTGCAAATGTAATGCATCTTCAACATGACTAACAGTACTGCTAAAATTTTCATTAACTCTAACTTCCTAGTAGTACTAGTTGTCATACATAAAGGGCGTACCCAGTGCAGAGAGCTCCCGCTCTGTGCGGGGTATGGAGAAGGGTGTCAGTGGCAAGCCTTACCCTCGCCTGTGCACTGCGAGGAGACCTCAACTCGAACCCGGGACCTTCCGGTCACAGGCGGTAAGACTCTACCGCTTGCACCAGGCCCGCCCTTCTACTAGTTGTACATGAACGGAAAAATAATCTTAAACATGGACATCTTAACTTCTTCAGTCTTCTTCTTCATGGACATCTTAGCTTCTTTAATCGCCTCAGCATCCAGACCTTCATCTGGAATCCTTGGCAATCCATTACTAACATTGGAGTATCCACGACAAATCCAAAGCAGGGATACCGCAGCACCATTGACGTCCTCGTCATGGTCTCCATACAAACGAGGAAACAACACAGGGAGCATCAAACCGCAGCCTTCATGTTTGACCTTGTCTGACTGAAACTTGGAAGCAAACGATTGTAGGGCATGCACGGTGTCAAGTTCGTCGACTTCGACAATGTCCACCTCGGCGTCAGGGTCGTCGACTTCGGCGATGTCCATCTGGGAGTCCGGCACCTCAGTCTCACCTGCATAAGTATCCATCACGAACAACATCTCGCTCTCGGCCATGGGGTCTTCATCTTCGTCGGTAGAATTTGGTGCCCAGTTGACACCACGCACGTACTGCACCTCGCTCTCGGCCATGGGGTCTTCATCTTCGTCGGTAAAATTTGGCGCCCAGTTGACACCACGCACGTACTGGACCTCATCGTCGTGGTCATGGCGATCCATGGCATGCAGCAGCGTGGTGTGGTGTTGGCGTGGAGCGACTCGGCGGCGCGCGCGGCGGCGTGGTGAGGCTGCGACTTGGCGGCGCGGCTGCGTAGTGTGCTGGGCACTTCGCCGCGTGGTGCGGTGGCGAGACTCGGCGGCGCGGCTGCGTAGTGTGCTGGGTACTTATTGACGAACGCTAACGGAAGGGAACGGAGCGGGGGCACTTGAAGCAACGGGAGACAGCACCGCATCAATTGCCTTGTCTCGTACGAGGAGGCCGTGTCTCGTACAAAGAGCGCGAGCGCCTAGGGACGAGGTCCCTGGCTTAAACGACTCCGACTCTTGGAGAATTTTTTTTTGGTTAAACGAGTCCGATAAATGGATGGAGGGAGTATATTGTACTCTTTACTCCTAGACTAAGCACTATGCAAGAATACAACATCTTCTCAACTAAGCACTTTTCACTATTAGCATACGTGTGTGACAAACAAGTAATACAAATCCTCATAATGGCTACTCAATAGTATCAAGTCACGCACTTAACTCCTGTAAATCTCAGTTTAGTCTACTAATGATTTGCGGCGCATTGCATAAACCAAATAAAATGGACATCAACAATCAAACAATGTGAGAGCTCACTGGATGAAACCAGCGAAATAGAGTAGCCTGATTTGCGCATTGCATAAACCAAATCAAATGAACATCAACAATCAAACAATGTGAGAGCTCACTGGATGAAACCAGCGAAATAGAATAGCCTCACCTTTCCCATCTCAATGTAGACTGCTGCTCGGTTAGTCAGATAGGAAATATCCTCGTCGTCAAGTTCCAAAGCTTTGGTGTAATGCTGGATTGCCGTCTCGAAGTCCTTCTTCTTGTAAGCTGCGTTACCTAACTCCTTCTCTTTCTGAGCAGCAGCTTTCCTCTCCTTGCGCTCCTTCTCCTCATCAGTCAAATCCATCGGCTCTGGCTCGGGCTCGGGCTCCACCTCCCTCGCCTTCGTCTCAGGAGGCGGCGTCTGCTGTTGCTGCTGCTGCGGCGGCGGGGTAGACTGCGACGACTCGGAGGCCTCGGGTCTCTGGATCTTGACGTTAAGCATGAGGCTGAGCACCTGCATCATGCGGGGGTCGGAGAGGTACGTACTGATGCTGCTGGGGTTCCTCTGCACTTCGCGCAGCATCTGCATAAAATCGGGCTCGCTAAGGTAGGCGCGCGTGGTGGGGTCGGACGCGATCTTGCTCCACAGCTCGGGGCCCTGGAACATCTGGCCGATGCCGTCGGGGCCGGACGGCCCGCGGCGCGGTGGGGGGGCGGCGGCCTTCTTGGCGTCCTCGAGCCCCGCCTTGAGGCCGTCGTTGCTGGGCTCGAGCGCGAGGCCCTTCTCGTAGGCGGCGACGGCGCTGGCGGCGTCGCCGAGGCCGAGGTGCGCCGCGCCGAGGCGGGAGTAGCCCTTGGCCCAGTCGGGCTTGAGCTCGACGGTCTTCTGCGCGTCGGCGAGCGCGTCGGAGTAGCGGTGGAGCGAGGCGAGCGCCGCCGACCGGTTGGAGTAGAGGATGTGGTTGCCCGGGGCGAGCGCGATGGCGTCCGTGAAGTGCCGCGCCGCCTCCTCGAAGCGGCCGGCCGAGAACGCCGCATTACCCTTCGCCTTCGCCTCGTCGGCCATGGCGGGGGGCTCCGATCGGATCGAGCTCTCGAAGGTTCTGGAAGGCTTGACGGCTGGGAGGGCCGGATGAGGATGCGAGCAGAAAAGTCTAGGGGTTTGTGGGGATTAAGACGAAAACCTGTTGAGATTTTTTAATAAAACCGGGAGGAGCCCAGCTGCGTTGGACCCCAGTTCTCAAGAGTTCTGGAAGGTTCCTCCACGGAGTAGCCGATCAGGATCACGGCAGGCAACGGAAGGGACGACCCGATGGATCACGGCCTGCCACTGTGTCTATTTCCATCTTCTTACGCCTATAAATGGGCCCGTTTCCAATTCTTACAAACGTTTGGGCCGCCAATTTAGCCCATTTGCTACAGTGTGCTGGCTGTATCAAGTTGCTGGGCCGACAAAGTTGGGCTACGGCCGCTAATCTCCAGAATCCAGCCCAACCCGGCCGCACCACTCCGCTACCCGCTGACGTCAAAGCATGGAAGCGGCTCCAGCACCTCCACAAGGCCGCACAAGCCGACGGAGCCGCCGCACCAGCTCACGCCCACGCGTCCGCGATCCAGGGCGCCGTGCCATGCATGGCGGCATGCGCGCGGCCGCGGCGCCTACTTCTTCTCTCCACCCCGACCCTGCGCCGCTCTCACGCTACATTCCTACCCTCCCGCCGCTGGACTCTAGTAGCGCCATACGCCAGAGGCCGAGAGGCGATGGCTGCGCGGTGGTGCCTCGTGCTGCTCGTGTTGGTGCTGGCCGCGGCCGGCGCGGAGAAGGGGGAGTGGGACCCGGTGATTCGGATGCCTGGGGAGAAGGAGCCTGCAGGGTCGCACTCGCACAGCGGCGAGGGATTTGAGGGGGAGGAGGATGACGCCGTCGGACGAGGTGGGCAGTGCTCGTTGCCGGGTCCTCAGGCTACGGCAACTACAGGCACCAGGTGAGCGCGATACTTAGTGCAGCGACTTGGATGCGTGGATGCGCCCGAATTCGATTGTTAGCGAGGCGGCTTTTACATTTTTACCATTATTAAGATTACCGCTCATCCGATTATTACTCTTAAAATGACATTTACAACTTTACCAGATGAGAGAAGTTTGAGTTCTTAATTTACCATATTTGTGCATGTGCAAAGCCACGCCAGCCCGACACGCTGGCGCCCAGTTAGCATGGGCACGTGAAATGTCCTTGCTACCCCTGCTTTGCTCCTCTCTCTCCATCTCCGACAGCCAGGTCCCGCAGCACATGTCACTGTCAGACAGGCCCCACTCGTCAGCTTCGTCTTCCGGCTCCAGCACCTGCATGGGAGACAGCCAGACAGGCCACGCTCTTCCGTCCGCGCGCAGGAGCACCACCGGGTGCCGCTCTCCATGGCCAGAGCTCCATCGCCTAGCTGACACGCTGGCGCCCAGTCAGCCAGACACTGAGCTCGCCCGCCCGTTGGCCGCCCTGATCCCAGACGATGCGCGTGACTTGCCCGGCGACGCGGAGTCGGGACTGGCGCCCATGAAGCCCGGAAGGTCCCTAGCGAACACGTCGCGCGGATCGCGCGCCGTCGGGGAGGACGCCGCCGGAGAGGGGTAGTAGACCCCCTTTTGCTGGACAATGCCGGTGGGAGTGTCGCGCGTCCAGTAGCCGACGTAGACGCTGCCGTCGGCCCAGCGGAAGGTTCCCTGGCCGCGCGGGCAACCGTCCTCCCACCCGCCGTCGTAGCGGTTGCCGTTGGACCAGACGAGCGCGCCGCGGCCGTGGATGAGCCCCGCGAGCCACTGGCCCGTGTACTCGGTGCCGTTGCGCCAGGTGTAGCGGCCGGCGCCGTCCTGCAGCCCCGCGCGCCACTCGCCGTCGTACTGGTCGCCGTTGACGTAGCTCTTCTTCCCGCTGCCGTGCTTGAGGTTCATGGACCAGGACCCTCGGTAGGTGTCCACGGCGGCGCCGGTGTAGGTGCCGGAGCCGTCCATGAACCCGTCCTTGAACTCGCCCTCGTAGGTGGCGCCCGACGGCCAGGAGAACTTGCCCCGCCCCGTGGCCTTGCCGTGCCGCCACTCCCCCTCGTACATGCACCCGTCGGTCCACAGGTACTTGCCGGCCCCGTGCGGCGCGCCGCCGCGCCACTGGCCCGTGTAGAAGTCTCCGTTGGGGAGGCCGCGTTCCATGTGTCCATGCACATGCTCGCAGTCGTCGCCGCCAACCGACGAGGAGGAGGACGCCGAGGAGGATGCCGTCTCGGAGTCGTCCGCGGCCAACATCGGGGATACCCGGCGCCTGCCCACGGGATGCGGATGCTGCATCTAGCGCACCGTCGCCTCCCAGTCCCACGCCCTGGCACGGGTGTGCTCGTGCATTGGACGCCCCCCGCCTGTCCCGGCGGCCAAGCCTTTCTTCTGAGCCTTCCTGTTTGCCGCCGGCGCTGACGCCGGCGCCGCCGCTCGAGGTCCTCGCCCGGTACCTTGGCTCGGCGCGCGTCGCTGTGCTTGGCCGCGGATCTAGCACCGCCGGAGGCCGCGCGCGCTGCCTCCACGGCGGCATTGTTGGGGAAAAAGGGATGTAATGGTGAGGAATGAGCGGATACACGCAAGCGGACGGAAGAGCCTGGCCTGTCTGGCTGTCTCCCATGCAGGTGCGGGAGCTGGAAGACGAAGCTGACGAGTGGGGCCCACCTGGCAGTGACATGTGCTGCGGGACCCGGCTGTCGGAGATGGAGAGAGAGGAGCCAGGCAGGGGTAGCAAGGACATTTCACGTGCCCATGCTGACTGGGCGCCAGCGTGTCGGGCTGGCGTGGCTTGCCACATGCGCAAATGTGGTAAATTAAGAACTCAAACTTCTCTCACCTGGTAAAGTTGTAAGTGTCATTTAAGAGTGATAATCGGATGAGCGGCAATCTTAATAATGGTAAAAATATAAAAGCCCCGTTAGCGTGAGTAGCGTGGTGTTGTACTGTTGTTGCGATATTGCTTCGTCAGGTTATCCGTTATCGTGGTTCAGAAATTAGTATCGTCGAACCGTGGAGTTGCACTTTTGGGTATCAAGTTTGAAGTTTTGGGGTCCTAAGCCATAGGATGCTCGGATTTTAACATTTCGAGTCTTGTCTACATCTTGACTCAATTTAGTTGTGGGTGCAGCTAAAGTTCAGGGAAGAACTGCTCGGCCCAGGGGCTTCCACAGGTTTAAGGATCTAGTGGGAGTGCAGCTAGTAGTGACAAATAAAGTTCTGGGGCTTCTTAGGATGTTGTAGTTTTTTCAAGTGATCGTTTTCAGGGAAGGAAAATGTTTAAGCAACAATATAATTCAGTAACGTGAAGGATTTGGAATTTCGCATGTTTTGCTTCTAAGTTTCTACGCAGAGGATGGATTGGTACCAAATTTTGCCACGTCTAAATAGTTGCGTAAGTTGGCAAGAACATTAGACAACAGTTGAAAGAACAGATAATACGTCTGTCAAACAACTTTCTTCTCCTCTTTATGAAAGACGTGCTAAAGCGCGTTCGCAAAAAAAAAAAAAGAATAGATAAAATATTTGATGGCGAGTACTTGTACTTTCAGTCAGTAAACTGGAATTATGTGCCAGTAGCTAAAAGTTGTTTGAATATCATCATGTTTATTGGGCAAATGTCCATGTTCGTTTTCGCCTTGTTTTGTCTCCTTTTTAGCAGGGAACAGACATTACATATCAGCAAGCAATTATTTTCTGTGGTGCCTTTGCTTACGGGTTGATGTATTTGTTTTATTGCAGGCTGATATATGCCATGCATACCAGATACTGCGGAAAGGAGGGATAAAAGAGGAGAACATTGTGGTGTTCATGTATGATGACATTGCCAATAGTGCACTCAACCCAAGGCGGGGGGTTATTATCAACCACCCAGAGGGCGAAGATGTTTATGCTGGTGTTCCGAAGGTACTTCTTAGCAGATTGTCCTTCTATCATTTTTCTCCCAGTTAGAGGGAAACAGTGGCGGATATAAGGCTAGGGCCAGTATGGCCATGGCCCTAGGCGTGAGAAAAAACACTAGAGTAATCCCTTTGTTTTTTCCACATAAATCTATATACTAGCATTATTTTTGTCCATTAGCATGTGATCTGGTGTTAGTGGTTCATAATATTGGCCCTAATCGCGAAAGTTCCCCGCCACTGGAGGGAAACGTTGGGATCATTATGAGCTCAAACTTGCCTTTCAACTAGTTTCCACCTATAGAGGTGTACATAGCCCTCTGGATGGGGACAGTGAGAACACCTTAGGACTTGTAAATCACAAGTTGCTTATGATTGTGTTGCACAGGCCGTCAATACTACACATCATAAGTTAAAGTAATTCAAATCCAATGCAGTCATATGCAGATACTCCATGCATATTCTTATAGAAAAAATTCTCAATGTTGATGCTCACCCTTAACAAGGCCAGATTTCTGGATAATTTAATTGTCCATACTTCAGATTTCACACTAATGTGAAGTACTTGAGTTACAACATTTAATTCCAACCAAGCTCTAAGCATGTTCTAACCTGTTATGATTAGCTTTTCAATCAAATAAGCAAGTTCTTTAGAACGAGAGCATGGCATGGGACTGTATCATTTTACCATGTGTTTTTTAAGGTATCTTCTTCAAGGATTCATCATCGGTACATTCTTCTTTAGCTGCACTTGGTTCTGCAAGTCTATTAGTTAACATAGTTTCTAATTCCAGGACTACACTGGGGACCAAGTCACTGCTAAAAACTTCTATGCAGTTCTCTTGGGCAACAAAACAGCAGTCACTGGAGGCAGCAGGAAGGTCATCAATAGCAAACCAGATGACCATATTTTTATCTATTACTCAGATCACGGGGGCCCTGGTGTACTTGGTATGTGGAAGTTGCAAATGCTTCTCTGCATTATCAAATAAATTTTGTTTCATATGGATTGACATTTTCTATTTGCAGGTATGCCCAATCTACCGTATCTTTATGCCGGTGACTTCATGAAGGTGTTAAGAGAAAAACATGCTTCAAACAGCTATGCCAAAATGGTAAGGTTGTTCTCATTTACTTGTTGATAGGAAACTTGTCCTATCTGAATGGAAGCATGTGGGCAGGTTATATATATTGAAGCATGCGAAAGTGGCAGTATATTTGAGGGGTTAATGCCAGAAGACCTTAATATTTATGTCATGACTGCATCCAATGCAGAAGAAAGTAGCTGGGGTACATACTGTCCAGGAATGGAACCATCACCTCCTTCCGAGTACATCACCTGCCTAGGTGATCTCTATAGTGTCTCTTGGATGGAAGACAGGTAGAGTTCATATTGTGGATGCTTATTTTGTTGGCAACTACTCCATCCATCCCAAATTATGTCTTTTTTGACTTTTCTAGGTACACACCTTTTGCTATGTACCTAGATATATATGCTATGTTTAGATTTGGAAGGTGAGAGTACCTTGTGGTTTAGTGGGGGGTATCTTTCTTGAAAATTTTCTCTGTAGAAATACTATGGCATGTCGTGGTTTTATGGTTCTGCTGTACACAGGAAATTGGTACACTAGTTGAATAAAGTATGGTTGGTAGGTACATTTACATAGCTACTTCAAAAACCGTGAACTTCTCTCTGGTGAATATAGAACCAGTTCAGGGCAGATGAAGACCTTACCAAGCATCCACGTACTTAGTCTTGAATCATATTTTTGTTAATTTGGAAGTGGCCACTTAGTGCTGTGATTGAATAACCATAATAATATAATATTACTACCTGACAGTGAGACTCACAATCTGAAGGAGGAAACAATAAAGGAACAATATGAAGTGGTGAGTCTGGACTTACCTTCTAGTCATTTCATTTGACTGTTTATAAACTTTTACTTAATCACAGCATTGTGCACAGGTTAAGGAGCGTACTTCAGACTCGAACAGCTATGGTGCAGGCTCTCATGTCATGGAGTATGGTGACAAGACCTTCAAGGGCGAGAAGCTTTACCTTTATCAAGGTTTTGATCTTGCAAATGCCAATGTCACAAATAAGCTACTTTGGCCAGGCCAAGAGGCTGTGGTCAACCAAAGGGATGCAGATATTCTCTTCCTATGGAAGAGGGTAAGTCCTTGTGCTATACGACCACCACTCTATTAGCTTGTCTGTTCCTTTCTGGGATACAAAAATGAACTGATTTATCTACTGCCAGAAAACCACTATGCTTGCTCCTTCAAATGGTTTAATCTACAACCTGCCATTTTTCCCAGCTGAAGTTGTTTCTTGCTTGGATAATTTGGGTAGATTTGGACTATGATGGCATTGTTTTGTACATCTCACTTAGTTTGTACTACTCCCTCCGTTCCAAATTATAAGTCGCTTTGACGTTTTAGGTACATCCATTTTGCTATGTATCTAAATATAATATATGTCTAGATACATAGAAAATTGTATGTACCAAAAAAGTCAAAGCGACTTATAATTTGGAACTGAGGGAGCACTTATTATCTTCATTATTTACTTTCTGCACGTGCTATGTTTAGTACTCCATTCGTGAATAGATGATGGTCTCGACCCTGTCGGGAATTGATAGGCCAAATTTCTTGTCGGTATGGATAGCGGAATTTTGGTTTATTAATATCCGAGCTACCCCATTGATCCTCCACCTTGAACCAGGAGGACTAGCAACTTTGTTGAGCCTTACATCAGAGCTTACTTGTTGCGTCCTAGCGCTCGCACTTCACCCTGCTTGCCAGCAGGTGTCATCTTGATGAGTGCCTCTCACCTAGGCCTTGAAAGAACTGATAGGCTTCCTACAGGACTGCAGCTTGGATCTAATAATCCGTTTATCAAGACGCAAGTAGTGAATGCCAGCTAATAGGAGTAATTGGCTGAGAATTTTAGTTTGTATGCTAACTTTAAATGCTTTGTTAGCTAGTGTTCTTGGAGTTAATGGGGCACTCGTGACTTTTGACTGTTGGCCAGCTTCTGCGCTTGCCGGTGCTGCCATGTCTGACCCTCCTCTGTCATGAGCTCCCCAGCACTACAATAGGCTTTGGAGGAGCTTGCTTGCGGTGACTAGTGCATCTCACGTGTCAGCTTCTTGCGCTCACACCGATGCCACCTTCTTCTTTTGGCTCTTGGGCTCTCTATAACTCTCTTGGCAGGCTGGGGGAGTATGTCATGTGCCCCTTTGACACTCCGATAATTAACTCTATTTGCTTTCTTCTTAATTGAAATCCTGCCATTGCATTCAAAAAGACTTACATTTTATTTTCTTCGAGGCTGCTTACAGTTCTCTTGTTTGGTTTCAGTATGAGCTTTTACACGGAAAGTCTGAAGAGAAGCAGGAAGTTCTGAGGGAGATCACTGGAACAGTGATGCATAGGAAGCATCTGGACAACAGCATCGGTTTCATCCGAAAGCTTCTCTTCGGGATTGAGAAAGGGCCTTCCACGCTTCAAGCCGTTAGACCTCCGGGCCAGCCACTCGTTGATGATTGGGATTGCTTGAAGCAAATGGTTAGTTAGACTTGATGCATCTTCTTTCTTTTTTGAGAGCTTGCTAGGCTGCCATTGTCTGTTGAATTGACTCATTCTGGTGAGCCTCTTCAGGTAGGGATCTTCGAATCCCATTGCGGATCACTCACTCAGTACGGTATGAAGCATATGAGGGCGTTCGCAAATATATGCAACAGTGGCACGCCTGGCGCTTCGATGAAGCAAGCGAGCATCAGTGCTTGTGGCAGCTACAACTCGGCGAGATGGAGCCCGTTGGTTCAGGGCTACAGCGCTTGATCTTCTGAAGATTCTGGGGGAGCAATGCTTAGAGGACTATTACTGCTTGCTTAGTCCTGCTCTGGCCCAACTTTATATATGGATGTGTATGTAGGGCTAGTCTTATCTGTGAAGTACTGTAAAAGTTGACCTTTGTGCCTCTGTAATGTACGTACAGTTGTGTATATATTGATCGTGTGTTTTTCACTTCTGTATATTTCGCCAGGTCATAAGTAGACGAAAGTTGCTTTAGTTGCTTGCAACTTGCAAGGCAATCCGTTGTAGCAGACTGTACTCCCTCCATTTTAAATTATAATGCATTTAGATATACACTAATACAATATGTCTAGATATATAGTGAAAATGATATATCCAAAATATCAAAACATTTTATAACGAGAAAGATAAAGGCATTTCTAGCTACTTATGTTTGCATGAACTTTGGGGTGTACTTGGACATCTAGTATGAAATATTTTAAGTTGGACATTTAGTTTGTAATGACTTGTTTTAAATTATTGTAATATATAAGCTCTTACTTGATTAGTTTCGTTCTTATTTATGGATCGGATGACGTACAATAGTATAGCCTATAATACGTGTACGAAAACTATTTAAAACGAAAACAAATTGAATGGAAAGAAAATGCAAAAGAAAAAAAAGTGATATTTAGTCCCGGTTGGTTATACCAACCGGGACTGGAGGTGCCCGCCCTCAGGCTCGGTCTATAGGCCCATTTAGTCTAGGTTGTTATAAGTAACCGGGACTAAATGGTCCCCATTCAATCCCGGTTACCAGGCCCGAGACTAAAGAGCGGACCTTTAGTCCTAGATTGGCAATCCCGGTTAGTAAACCGGGACTAGAGGGGGTTTTCCAACCGAGACTGCAAGCTAGTCCTACACCAGTGCTTGGTATACAGAAATAAAGGTTACAGTAGATTTGGAGCAGTAGTTCACAATCAGGCCTATAATTTGGACCAGTGGTTCACAATCAGGCCTTATGGACCATTTCATGTGCGTCGTCATCACCACGTTCCTTCGTTTCAGGCTTGAACAAGGTGGAATAAGAAAAGGCTTCACACTTTCACATTTGCAGGAGTGACGCTGCAAGCAAGCTGCAAGTCTCCTTATTTCCCCACCGCATCCGCATGTCCCTCAACCCAATCGTGTCAGCCCGATAACTCGCTACACCGATCCGGGCCTATTCAGGTGTAACCGTAACTCGCTACACCGATCCGGGCCTATTCAGGTGTAACCGTAACTCTCTACACCGATCCGGGCCTGCTCAGGTGTAACATGTGCTTCAGTGCTTACATGACGACCTATCACGGGTACAGAGATCAGAGAATAAGATGTCTACGCATCAGTCAAGATCAATACATACTCACCAAGCATACATGTGTTTGGTCAAGGGCTCAGTAACTCACGCATGTGTATATATAGAGAGAGTCAGAGAGAGCCACAACTGTTGGCTTATGTTGTTTCATGTCTAACGATGTAACACATTGTTTGAACCACACTATGCTCACCTGCAACAACCGAGTTAATACGTATATAAGCCTACAACAGTACATCAACAGCATCAACACGCCTAGCGACAATAACGTAAAGGGATTCAAATTTGTCACAGCACCACACAATTCGTTACACCTCAACTCGAACAAATCAGTAGATCACACATAATTACCGAAAATCTCAGCAGTAGCAGTAGCTCTTATTCCGACTAGTGACCCTCCGACTTTGCTGGCATGCTGCGGACGTTCTTGAGCAGGTCCTGAATCTTGGATAGCATCATCGTCTGGGCAGAGTCCCCTCCAGCGCCGCTGCTGCTGCCCACAACCACGGCTGGCCTCTGGTTCTCCTGCAGCTTGATCTTCTCGAAAAGGAACTGCTTCTCTGCCTCCGCCTCCTCCAGGCGCCGCTTCAGGTACATGCTGGCATAGTCCTGCTCGGCTGTCTTGGACTTGGTGAGCGCAATGCTCTGCAGCCGCTCCGCCTCCTGCCGGGCCTCATTCGCCTTCAGCTGGAACATCTCCGCTTCCGCCTGCTTCAGCCGCACGATGCTCTCCAGCTCCTCCACCTGCTGCTTCTTACGCAGACGCTCCGCCTTCAGCTCCTGGGCTTCCCTAACCTTCTCCTCCAGCTCTCGGTCGCAGGCCTCCACGGCAAGACAGGCCTTCTTGTAAAGTCGCATCTTTTCTTCAGCGACGAGCTCCATCTTTCTCACAGCCTCTTGGACTACCTCTGCTATGCGGTTGCAGGCTTCCTGTGGTGTGATCAGATGCCCAACATCTTCATTTTCGGAGATCTTGGGGGAGTCCATCTCAAGCTCTGTGTAAATATATGTCCATAATACATCAACCAATCGTTCACACACAAAAAAAAACCAACAACATCAACCAATCAATTCTCTGTAAGCTTAAGCTACTACAGAAAAAATATATAAGTAGTATCTACAACTGCTGCAAAAAAGGGTCAGATAAACAAGTCATGTTAACCGTAACGTATAAAAAAAAGAACGTCACCCAGACACAGAGTTTCATGCCTAAGGTTTATACTCATTATGTTTATGTTGGGGATATCTAGTTGATTGCTATTGACCTTCAGTCAGGATGAGCAATACCTTGACATCATAACAAAAGCAGAAAAGCTTGTAAGGGTGTGTCACTTAGGTCCATGAACTTTGAAAATGCATTTTTTTTGTCCCTAAACTTGTTAAATGGTGCATCGCAGGTCCATACCAGCCACATAGGTGTTCCATGATGATGTGGCATACCAATGTGACATGTTTTTTTACATTTAAATCCTCATCTTTCCTCTTATCTCAGGAATGGATCCTTGCTTCCCTCTTCTCTCACGCGACCCAGCCCGATGGACACCACACGGCTCACTTCACCTGGCTGCTGCTCGTCTGCGTGCCGATGTTCCACCCCACCAACGGCCAGCACCTCGTCTTCTGGTTGTTGCTAGGTGCAGAACGGCGACACGCAGACGAGCGGCAGCGAGGCGAGGGGAGCCGCGGTGTCCACAGTGCTAGGGTCAGCGCGAGAGAAGAAGGAAGCAACAATCTATTCGTAGAAGAAGAGGAAAGAGGAGGGGTTAAATATAAAAAGCATGCCACGCTGGCATGCCACATCAGCATGGAACGCCTACGTGGTTGGCATGGACCTGCGGTGCATCATTTAAGAAGTTTAGGGATGCAGAAATGCATTTTCAAATTCGTGGACCAAGTGACACACCATTACAAGTTTGAGGGCCACTGGTGCATTTAATTCTTTATCATATACAGGCATCTCTCCATACTGCTAAGAATCAGTAGCTTTGTAACACAACATAAAAACCAAGTCCTAACAGGAACAAATAAGAAGTGATTGATTTCTTTTCCCTGTTCTTATACCAAATCAATATATTTTCATGTTAACACAGTGAAAATGAATTGACACTGTGGGGGGTATAACCCCAGGTACCCACGGAAATGGACATGGGCCGCACCACCAGGGGAGGTCCAGCCCATAAGATCAAGGCCTACGGTGCTCGGCTCTGGTCGGCGTGCACCGCAAGGCAATCAGAAGACATCTTGGCGGTGAAGAAAGATCTGTTTGGATATGATAAATATCGTATTCCTTGTAAATACTTACCATATAGCCGAATAGATCTAGACCTAAACCGACCTGTAACCCTACCCTCTAGACTATATAAGGCGGGTAGGAGCCCCTCGAAGGCATCTCATAATCAATACAAAATACCAAAGACACAGGACGTATGGTATTACGTCGATCAGACGGCCTGAACCAGTGGGCAGATATCCCATACCCAAGGCGTTTCCCACTCGTGCTGGATCCAATCATTAGCAACGTGCGGTTCAAGAAGGTCCTCATTGACGGCGGGAGTGCCCTCAACATCCTCTTCGCTAGAGCTCTAATTGAATTAGGACTCACGAAGGACGATCTCGTTCCTGTTGATTCTCCATTTTGGGGTATTGTACCTGGCAGAGCGTCCCAACCTTTGGGGCAGATCACCTTGCCAGTCCAGTTTAGCACCGCCAACCACTTCCGTGTTGAGTACGTGAACTTCTTTATGGCAGACTTCGACACCGCCTACCACGCCATCCTTGGTCGACCAGCTCTCGCCAAGTTCATGGTCGTGCCCCATTATGTGTATCTGGTGTTGAAGATTCCAACGGAGCAGGGCATCCTCACCCTGCGCGCCGACGTCTCCACCTCCTACGACTGCAAAAGAGGACTCGCCATAGCCGAAGCAATGGACATCTCAGCCAGAATGGAGGCTTGCATCGCCGACTCAAGAAGGTCCATACATCGTCAAGGCTGTGACCCGACCAGGGTCATATAGGCTTTGAGATCAAGACGGCGTTGACATCCCTAATCCTGGCACGTCGAACACTTTAGGCGGTTCTATCCTTGAGACGTTCTACAAAAGACATATACCTTTTTATGTATATATGCATTTCAATAATGATTTTATCCGTGATGTTTTCTCCATTTGTTTTCCATAATTTTTCTCGAATTACTTATTTCTCCATGCTAAACATATTTGAGACAACGCATTCTATCGCCATTCGATTCGCCGACCAGCCACGTTCTCATTCGCGTTATCCAGAAGTAGAGCCCTGTCCTCGATTTAGCACCTAAACGTCTTGCTGACGATAGCGCTTCTGCGTCGTGTGAAGGCGGTCGGCGGCTGACTCCTCGGTGATGCCTATATATCTCTAAGCAGCGCCTGACGATGGCGCTCTGTGTCATCGGAGGTCGTGGCTGGCTCTCGGTGATGCCTAAGCATGCACAAGAATCTTGGGATAGAATGCCCCCCACGTCTCGTCAGGTTTACCTCTCCAATTTCGCCACGGTATAGTGCTTAGCACTCTCCATGTTCTCCAATTTCGCCACGGTATAGTGCTTAGCACTCTTCATGTTCTCCAATTTCGCCACGGTATAGTGCTAATCACTCTCCATGTTCTCCAATTTCGCCACGGCATAGTGCTTAGCACTCTCCATGTTCTCCAAATTTCGCCACGGCATAGTGCTTAGCACTCTCCATGTTCTCCAAATTTCGCCACGGTATAGTGTTAAGCACTCTCCATGTTCTCCAAATTTCGCCACGGCATAGTGCTTAGCACTCTCCATGTTCTGCAAATTTCGCCACGGTATAGTGCTAAGCACTCTCCATGTTCTCCAAATTTCGCCACGGTATAGTGCTAAGCACTCTCCATGTTCTCCAACGGATCATCGTCTGGGTGGTCGCACCACCTGGCATTCGGATTTCTCCGCCGATCAACTGGTCGGACCGTAGGTTCATGACTTTGTCGCCGACCAGTTGGTCGGACTGTTCGACGTTCACTTCTATTCAGCGCTCACTTCGTCGCTGACCAGTTGGTTTGGCTGATCGGTGCTTGATTCTTCGCCAACCAACTGGTCGGATTGTCCGTCGCTTCATCGTCAGCTACGCTGGGGGCTCGCCAGCTAAGCTGGGGACTCCTCGGCGTTCGGATTGTTCGTCGCTTCATCGTCAGCTAAGCTGGGGACTCCTCGATGTTCGGATTGTTCGTCGCTTCATCGCCAGCTAAGCTGGGGACTCCTCGGTGTTTGGATTGTTCGTCGCTTCATCGTCCGCTACACTGGGAGCTCACCAGCTAAGCTGGGGACTCCTCGGCGTTTGGATTGTTTGTCGCTTCATCGCCAGCTAAGCTGGGGACTCAGCGTTCGGATTCTTCGTGCAAGAGTCGCCAACTAAGCTGGACGTCACCTTGGCGGTTAGATCTTGCTGTCTCATCGGTGTGCTATCAGCTAGCTCCGTGCTGTTCGGATCAGGGTGCTGATCTTGGGCAGCACGTCTGGATCTTGATACGCACATGTCAGATGATGTCGACAAGCTTTCAAGCTTATTTTCTTTGACCCTGCTACAAGATTCATTCTTCATCTTCCAGCAGGCTCGGGGACTAAGTGTGTACACTTCACCTAACAATGAGTGTACTATTTTTCCTCTTGCTGGTCTTCTAAAAAGTGAAATTTGGCCGTGTGCTCGCTAAAGCTAGGACTCGCTTATTCGATTAACGATCGTTGTACTTCTTTGATCCCCGACGGGTGCATTCTTCACCTCTTTATCGGGCTCGGGACTTCTAATGTATGCATTGCACCTTGCGGTGCTTGTATCAGATTTAACGGTTGGCTAAGTTCCCGTTTTCTTTCTCGGTCGTTGATATTCTTTGATCCTGACACCATGTGTCTTCTTCACCTACTGTCAGGCTCGGGGACTACAATGTATACATTGCACCTTGCGGCGCATGTATCAATACTAACATCCTGTTTGACTAAGTCATAGATGATGATCATCTGACTTCGCCAACGAAGCCTAAGTGTGTACACTTCACCTAAGGTGGAGAATTTTTTAAATTTTAAACTTGAGCTCCTTACATCCTTCTGGCAAGCCTTGAGTATGTTCGAGGACTGTTGACCAGTTAAACTGGTCGGCACTTCATTTTGTTGATCGGATTTCCAGTTAAACTGGTCGGATTACCAGTCAAACTGGTCGGCACTTCGTTTTGTTGATTGGATTACCGATTAAAGCGGTCGGATTGCCGATTAATCGTCGACTCAAAGTTAAACCGCTTTCGGACCTGCTCAAGACGGCGTTGCTCAGCGGATACAAGGCGCTCGGGGACTAGCTGTGGGGGGTATAACCCCAGGTACCCACGGCAATGGACATGGGCCGCACCACCAGGGGAGGTCCAGCCCATAAGATCAAGGCCTAAGGTGCTCGGCTCTGGTTGGCGTGCACCGCAAGGCAATCAGAAGACATCTTGGCGATGAAGAAAGATCTGTTCGGATATGATAGATATCGTATTCCTTGTAAATACTTACCATATAGCCGAATAGATCTAGACCTAAACCGACCTGTAACCCTACCCTCCAAACCATATAAGGCGGGTAGGGGCCCCCCTCGAAGGCATCTCATAATCAATACAAAATACCAAAGATACAGGACGTAGGGTATTACGTCGATCAGACGGCCTGAACCTGTCTAAATCGCTGTCTCTACGCTCGTGTCACCATCCGGTTCCTATTACGCACACCTCCAGCAATCATCTACTACCGTGGGTATACCCCTCGGTAGACTGCGGACTAGATTTCGTCGACAAACATTGTTCCACTGCCTGGGTTAAGGGGGAGACTGGATGGGGCAGGATGAACTGCTGAATGCTACAACATAAGGCTCAACAAGGACTGGATGAGGCAGCAGAGACCATGGCACAGGGGTATTGACAAATGCAGGGAGGCACCACTAAGGATTAGGAACAGGAGCAAACTGGAGAGCAAATGAATGGATGGGACTAGAGGGTAGTGGAAAGAGCAGGGTCAGGAAGACACAAAACCAATCCAGAAGTTCTTTCAAAAAAAACTTTGCAAACCAATAGATGAAGCTATTTTGCACATATGTGCAAAATTTGATGCGCACAAATTTGATCTGGTTTAAAAGTCAAAAGGTTCAAAAATGACAAATTTCAGGTGCATTTGCACTATAGAAAAAAAAAATGTCTGTAATGCAAAGGCAAGTGAAATTTGTCGTTTCCATATCAGGAAAAAGACTTTATGTTGTAAAGAGTCAATTCAGGTGGGTGGAAATGAGCTTTCAAAAAAAAGGTGGGTGGAAAATGCAGTAGAAAAAGTGATTTAATGAAGTAAAAGAAATTGAAGGCATTTCTTCATACCCAATCCCAGAAGTGCCAAATCATCAAGTTATCTGACTATTTGATATACAAGGGAGAGCAAATAAATAAACAACTGGAATCTAGCAGTACTTGCTGGATAATAAAAATAATCTCCAATCCCAAATAAGTCCACTAGGACATCAATTTGGTCTCCATTTCTACACTTTGACTAATAATAGAAAGTGTTATATATTACGGAAGTATGTTTCATGATAAATGCAAACATGCAGTAACATCAACCTCATGTTATCAATCTATATAACTATTTGGTCAATGATGGCCAAAGCTAAAAAAAGTTTGACCTTGGACAAAGATAAATGGACTTATATTTGGGATCGGAAGGAGTAAACAATTTTCATAGTCAACAGGGTGCCATGAAACAGTAACTAAGCAGACTTAGAAATAAGAAGCTAACAGGTAACAAGTCAAATGCAAACTTATGTTTCAGCAAGGGAAAATAGTTTGTCTTAGTAAAAGGCGCGTGTGTTTTTCTAAGAGCTTAGGAGTGTGGGTGTGTGTTGTAAGGGCTCTTGCCCCCTTTTCTTCTTAATACAAAGATACGCAGCTCTCCCGTGAGTTCGAGAAAAAAAAAATAGACTTTCAGCCAGGGAAAATAGACGGAGTGAGTGACTGACCTTGGAGTGCTTGTAGTATCACCCTAGGATTGATGGAATCAGCTGGAGCATTCCTCAGCCTTTCAATCAGATCTAGACATTTCCTAAACAACACTCTCCCTTTTGCATCCTCACTTAAACGGAATATCTTACAAACAAACTCAAGCTCACGTAACAAAGCATCCCTATCCCAACCAGGAGCACATTGTTGGAAGACATCCTTAACCCAACCAAGAAGCTCTGAGGTTCTCTGGCAAGCCCGGCACCTAAAAAGCATTTCAGCATGACCAATGCTGCTTTTCACTGATTGTCCCATTCCTATCTGGCCATTGTGAATTGCACAATCTGTATGTGTCCAGTGAGAGCAGAAATCACAACCAATCCAACGGCATGTATTGACCTCAAAATCAAACTTGTTGCAGATCACACACATGCACAGGTTGCAAAAGCCATTCCTGCTAGCACACACATTGCATCTGCACTCCTCAGCAGGGAGAGCACTCTGGCAAGCAATGTTCCGGCACCTCTTGTACAAGAAGACCTCCACCAAGCGATTGTGTGGAATGGTAACGCTGGGGTGCAGAAAAGCCTGTATCCCAGTCTTGATTGCAACAAGGATCTCAAGCTGAACATGGTGCGCCACTGAAAGCATGGATGGTGCCAAATCATCCCTGTCCTGCACAAGCTTTTGCAAGTACAAGAACTCCTCGATGTGGTGAGAACCTCCAGTGCCCTCCAGAATCGACCTGAGCTCATTCTTGACCTCCTCCAGGTGCTCCTCCGGCATCACCTTCATCTTCTCTGCGACCAGATCAACCCTCTCCCGTGCAACCTCCCGCAGAAGCATCCCACCCACACGGGAGGAGGGTCCGCGGATAATCTGCAGCTTGGATACACCATTCGCCACCTCCTTCTCTTTCTCTGCCGCCTTACTCACGACACCACTGGCAGCTACCCCACCGTTGCTCTGGTTCGGCTCAGCAGGCCATGTGTCCTTGGAACTGGCGCTCTCAGTGGCGGAGTCATGTCCTGGGTCTGAGTTTGAACCAGGCTCCTGCACGTCAGGCGAGCCAACCTGCTCCGAAGAGGCCAGCGAGAGCGAGGTCTGCAACCCTGAGGGGCGCGGACCATGCCTTGGAGGCAACATCCCCTGGGTAGGAGGAGGTTGCTGGTGGAAATTCGCGCCAGAAGAGGTCCCCATCTTTCACAATTCCAAGCTGCAAGCCTGCAACCTTAACCTACAAGGAACAACAGGTTCCATCAGTTTTCATAGGGGTGGTGATTGATAGATAAGATTCATCAAGCTGCTGACTAAATCGTCAAACAATGAAATCGCCTTTGTCCCAGCGAAGACTGAAAAGACCAACTAGATCTAAGGTCACACCTATGAACCAAATTTCTCCTAAATTAACTGGATCCCCTCCCCCTTGATCATTCCTGCTTGATTTTATCCTCGGAACACCTAGAGCACAAACCATTGTTGGAATTCGCTAGCATAGTGCTCAACAACTTGCTGATTAAACCATCATGGAACAAGTAAAAAAAACATCCTTTCTCCCAGCTAAAAAGGAAACCTCCACACAAGATCTAAGCTACACAACAATTAGGAACAAATTTCCTCCTACTGAACCGGTCACAGGTCGTCTTTCAATACTCCGTGCTCCCGTGACATTTACAGCTCTACGCCTAGATAGAACACAAATAAGTACCGGAATAAGCTAACAGGGAAACAGCAACAAGGCTTCTAAAACAAGGAACCAACCAATCCAGCCACATGGCCTCACCACCTAAGCCCTACAGGAAGCTCAGACCCTCACAGCAATAGGTTTCATGACTTATTTAAAATAGGCAGTAATTAAGCTATTGAAGGCATAAGACTCATCAAGCTCCTAACTAAATCATCAAGGAATGAAACCGCCTCTGTCCTGCCTACAACTTAAAACACTAACTAGATCTAAGCTAACTATGGACCAAATTAGACCAATCAGAGTCTCAGAGGTCGATTGGATACCATCCCTGATCATCCCTGCTGGATTTCCTACGCGAAGGAACCCCTAGAGCACAAACCACTAGCGGGATTTGCGAATCAGACCTAGCCATCCAACCACAAGCAGCCAACCAACCCTAGCCGCATGTCCTCCTCCTACAGAAAGCTCAAACCCTGAACACGAAGCCGAGGGTGAGGCGACGCCACTGAATCGAGCGGCCCCCAAGCTCCGCCTACGCGCACATCAGGGTACCGCACATCAGGGTACCTTTACACGAGAATCGGCTAGCCAAGCTACTCACCTCGGCGCTGGCGGGCCGTATCGGCGGCGCGGCGTGAACCTGGTGTAGAGCGCCTCCGCCTTTGACCGATGAGGACGGCGAGGTCGCGTCCCGTCCCAGCAAAATTTCCTCTCCACCACGCTGTGGTGCTTTTTTTTCAAAATAAAAAAATCCTCACGAGGAACGGGAGTTGGGGGAGTCCAACCGAGACGAACCCGCGTGGGTCAGAAATGATAAGGTAGAGGCCAGAACGGCAAGCTGCGCACCGTGCCACCGGCTGTGAGCGGTGCGGGCGACCGGTTTGACCGGTGGGAGACGCGTGGAGGCGGGTAGGGCCCACCGAGCGCGAGTGGGGAAGAAGGGTCTGCGAATACACTCGCCCGAACGGAGATACTACGAGCTCGCAGGAGGGAACGATTTCGCGGTAGGGAAGGAGAGGGGCGACGCGTGCTGCTCCGGAAGGCGGGCGGGGGCGGGGGCGGGGGCGGCGGCGAGCACGAGGTGGAGCCGTGGAAGGGCGCGACCGTGCGAGCGGCGCGCACGGTGAGACGCTCGGGATCGGGTGCGGTCGTGACTAGAAAGACAGGCGCGGCTTGCCGCGCCCTTGCAGTAACCAGCCCCTCTAAATTTGACTTCTATGTCTAGGAATTCCTTAATTTAATTCCCTTGTTAATCACTCAATCTGGAAACAAATTATGACATCTTCAAGATCACAAGCAAGTAGTCCAAGCAGTCTTGTAAATTATTTGAAGGCAGAGTAAGCATACAATGACCAGCAAGAAGATCTCTGATGCAAGGGCTCGAGCTTGTGTTGTTTCTTCAGAAGCAACTCCATGTCTCGGTTGTATGCTAAAATTTACCTGTCCTGGCCAGAGTATGGAAGCATCAACACATTGTATCTTAGTCTTAATATCTCCAAGATAATCTACCACTTCTCTTTTGTCACTGTTGAAAATGTTTTGTTCAGCCAAACTTGAGGAGATAAAATTATAATGGGAGGTGATTGAAAACATTACCAAACTGAGTTTCATGTCTCATGGTCTAAGGCAAAGACTATAGAATAGGTAACTCTAAGATGATTCATGATGCACACAGCTGTGTCCTTGTAATTTGCTCCAGCCACACCAAGGACAATAGACATACTCTTATCATCAGGAAGCTCAATTAAAAGTGTTTAAAGAATATGGACGATCAGGTGCTGAGGTCTCAAAATAATAGCTTTGCCATTTTATAAAAGCACAGGAAAGTATTATCTCATAGTTGATAGCGGTACAAACCACAAATTGGAGCAAGATGGCGAGTGAAACTATACTCCCAAGATCCAGCAGGTAATGTGTCATTCTTACTTCAGTTTATCTTATGCAACAAGCTCAAGGGGTGTTTAGATACAGGGACTAAAGTTTAAGAGGTGTCTCATGGGGTGTCGCATGGGGTGTTTAGATACTAATAAAAAAACAAACTACAGAATCTGTCAGTGATCCGTGAGACGAATTTATTAAGCCTCATTAATCCGTCATTAGCACATGTTACTGTAGCACCACGTTGTCAAATCATGGAGTAATTAGACTTAAAAAATTCGGCTCGCAAATTAATCTCAATCTGTGTATTTAGTTTCGTAATTAGTCTATATTTAATACTCCATGCATGTGTCCAAATATCCGATATGACAGCGACTAAAGTTTAGGAGGTGGAACCAAACACCCCTCAAACGTTCAGCATATAATCACACCCCTCAAACATTCAGCATATAATCCAAGAATGACACTGCTCGTGTGAAAAAAATAAGGCACGTATGATAGATCCTTGTGAGGCAGCCATCAATTGTATACTCTTCTTCCGTAGAGAAAAAAGAAGGCAAGACTCCACGTAAAGTACTACTTGGATTATTCATGTAGCGTGATTATATCAAGTTGTAGATTTCAATGGAGACATGGCATAATATTAATAAAAGATTGAATATATGAATAGAGCATATTGATCAATTGACATATTTAGGAGAATCATACAGATATCTGTAGAAGAGACTTGACCTCTGTTTAGCCTTTTTTAGCTTGTGATCTGTAACTTCATATGTTGCCTTGTAACTCTGCTCCTATTAGTTACAGATCCTATATATAGCAGGACTCTATACTGAATTTGTAACTGAATTTATATTGAAACACTGAACTGGCAAGAATGGAGATAGAAGACAGCATGATTAAAAGTATGTGTTTTAATGCAAATGCTTTCACATAAAAATAGTTGGCTAGTTTATATGAAGAGAGAAACATATGCACTGTTAACTTTCTTATTGGGTTCAAAATTTTGGCACATCGATGAATATATACATTCAATTCCAAAGCATTCCATGTAGTACCTACCGGAATCACAAGAGTACATCAGAGTCATGATCTCACTTGTAGATGTTGCAAATGTCATTTAAATTCTTAAAATACAGTACCATACGACAATTTACGTGAAGCATGCTCTCACTGTTTTTTTGGCATTTAATTACAACCTTTGCTGGCTTCATGACTTTTGTCTGAGCATTCTTTTGGGCATGATATTTGATAATAATTATAATCAAATGAAAAAGAGAGCAGGAAAAAAGTAATTTATTGTACTTACCATGATCCATGGTGTAGCGGTTGGAGTTTGTATCTAAGTATCTCGCCTTCATCATCCACACTGTTTATAGGCAAGACGACCTACAGCAACATCAATCTTCATCTGATTCTGGCGGGAGTACTGGCTTGCGTCGTTGCCTCTTTTGGGCATTTTGTCGAACGCATGTAGGGCATGTTTGGATAGAGACCTGGGTGACTTGCCTGATAAAAAGTACTGCCCGGAAGTTGCCTGGAAAGTTGATGAGTTTTGCCCGGTGAGGCAATGTGAGAAAAAGTCTGTTTGGTTAGATGCATGTGCCTGAAAATGTTTATGCGAGTGAAATTTTACTTTTTTATTGTTTGTATAGGATTAATGAACACTACTATGGTGTGTTTACTAGAATAATAACTTAGGTTAATTATCTCTTCTTTGCTAAAAAATTAATTTAAATTAATTTTTTTCTAATGAAAGATCTCTATATGTATTTAATTAAAGAGTAGAAAGCTTCAGAATACAAACTATGTTAGCGTTTACATGAAAAAAGGAGAGGAAAAATCTGTTGTAATCGTGGTCTTATGGACTTAATCAAGTGACCATTAACGTCAATTAAGAATAGAATACTTTATTGCGTCCAGGCAAACTACGGAGCCTGAGCCAGGCGGACGTTTTCCATCGCCTGGGCGTGCGCACGGCTGCCTGGGTCAGTCAAGCTCTCAGGGCTTCATCCAAACACTGCACAGGCAGTTTCCAGGCGAGGTCCTAGCCAGGCATCTTGCGTCCAGGTTCGTATCCAAACAGGCCCGTATTGCACAGGACAGGACATGGGGCCGAAACTTTGGGCGTCAGGAGTGTACTCAAGGCCGAGATGGTCCGAGGAAGAAGACGAGCGGGTGCTGGCCGTGGCTTCGGCGGTAGCCCTGGGGCGTAGTGGTGGAGCGCATATAGTGGGACGTGGTGTGGTTGCTCGACGACGGCAAGCCGTCAAGGGGCCAATGGAGTGTGAGCGTGGTCACGAATGTTCGGGGGAGTGCTATAGAGCTGGAGGCCTAGGGACTGACGGCTCGATCAAGAGGCGCATGGGGATCGAACGGGCACGTGGCTGGATGAGGGGCCGGAGTCCATGGTGCAGATTTCGTCAAGTAAAAGATGCGGAGTGGAAGTGGAACTGTGGAAGAGGAGGTATTCCTGACGCTGACGCATGGGCCCCGTGCACGAGTGATTTGTGCGTGTACGCATGAGCTGGGCCAGGACGGGGCAGATCAGGAAGACAGGAACCAGACCAAATCACGCACAAAGCCTTCCACGCTTCTCTTCAGGATTGAAAATGGGCCTCCTACACTTCAAGCCCTTAGATCCCCCGGCCAGCCACTCGTTGATGGTTGGGATTGCTTGAAGCAAATGGTTGGTTAGAGACTTCTGAGACTCGATGCGATCCTCTTCTTCTTGAGAGGTAGCTAAGGTTGCTATTATTTGTGTTGATTTGACTCATTCCGGTGAGCCTTTTCGGTTTCAGGTACAGATCTTCGAATCCCATTGCGGATCACTCACTCGGCACGGTATGAAGCATATGCATATGAGGGTGTTTCGTTCGCGGATATATGTAACAGTGGCACGCCTGAGATATGACTATGAGAATGTTCGTTCGCAAATACGTATACGCAGCAGTGGCACGCCTGGCACTTCGACGAAGCAAAGCGAGCATCAGTGCTTGCGGCAGCTACAACTCGGGGAGATGCATGGAGCCCGCTGCGGCGTTGCCGATTGCCGTTGGTTCAGCAGGGCCACAACGCTTGATATTGTGCGGATTCTGGGGAGCATGCTTGGAGGAGTATTACTGCTTGCTTAGCCTGCTCTGGCCCAACTTTATATGGACGTGTTACGTGTATGCAAGGCTAGTCTTATCTGTAAAAGTACTGTAAAATTAAAGTTAAACTTAGTGCCTCTGTAGTGTACAGTTGTCGTGAATGTTTCTGTATATTTCGCCAGGGCAAAGCCCAGAACAAATATTAGACAGGCAACCCGGTGTAGGAGTTCATAATCAGGCCATACGACCATATCCAACAGTGAACAGAAACATGACACTGCTGTTCGGGCAGCTTAAAGAGCAGAAGCAGGTAGTGAATCTCTATCTCCGGCAAAATGAATGTGACGGTAACGGTACCAGCTCGACGGTAACCGTCCATCTCTGCCTTGTGGGGTAGCTAGCTTGAGCCTGCGGTGAAACGTAAACATAGGCTGATCAGATACTCCAGGTCGGCTCCTTCCGTCTTTTTGACTCGAGAGAAGAAGCAGGGTAAAAAAAAAACAGAGTTAATTGAACCAGAGTGGGGCTCACATGCTTTTCTGAGGAAAGAGATGAACACCACGAGTGCTGCTACCCCCGCCGAGATACCGATTGCTATCGCCACGGTCCTCCCAGCGTCATCCTCAGGATTACCTGATCCCAAAGAATGCAGAATTTATAAAATAATAACTAGAGTAGTAGAGTATGACATCAACTAGAAAGAAAACTGGACTAGCGCACGACTGTGTACAGTGGCAGAGCTATAGCTCCATGAAATTCTCGGATTCCTTGAAACTAGCTATTTGTAGCTCTAGTAAATTCTATATCTAGAGCTAAATGCACATTGAGAGCATTTACATGTTTCATACGCCCTGTTCACTTGAACTTATAAGTTCGACTTATCAGTCATGGTACAATATTGTTCTCTCACAACAAAACAGTATAAGATGGCTTATCGGCCATAAAAACCATCAGCCAAACCATTCGAAACGAACTAAAATTGACTAGATAGATATAAACTAGCTAGGCATTGTCGTCCCTTGTTTACGCTGGTCAATGGGCCGATGGCACTCGCCGAGTGATTGCTAGACGCCCATCGTTTCTTCCAATGGTATTTGCTACCCTCCTATTTTTTGAGTAAAGTCTATTTAACCTCTGAACTTGTCATTAACCAGAAATCTTATATCCTCCAAATTTCAAAATTAGTCAAGTATCCTTCTACACCACTTAAAAGTGGCTTTGAGGGTGATTTTTAGCCGCATCATCTTCTTTTAGTTCAACAAATTTGATAAACACTAGATAAAATTTTCAAGCCACAAAAAATGTTTTCAAGCTTCCAAAAAACCGAGAAAACCCCTAGATTTATATTAGTATAACATACACCAAAATAAAATATTTGGAACTTGTCAAAAAATTATCTTTCGAAGCTTCCAAATTTCTGATTGTGCTCTAGGAAAATGAGAAATGTAAAACTATATATAAATTGTCCAAACATTTTAATTCATTTTAAAACCTATTTTAAAGACTTTCAATAACAAAATCATGAGATGCAACAAGCATGAGTGCAACACACAATAATGCTAATTGCATCCATGTTGGTCCATGCTAGTTGCATCTTATGTTTTTGTTATGGAATGTTTTCAAATCATTTTAGGCACCGATTATAATTCCTTATGATTTTTCTAGACTTTTTTGGATGTTCCCACTTTTTCTAGAGTTAAACACAATTTTTGAAAGCTTCCAGAGAAAATTTCAAGAGCTTCAAAAAAATTTATTTGGTGTCTCTTGTCCTAATATATCTCTAGAATTTTTCTTAGATTTTTTGGAGGCTTGAAGATTTTTTTCATGGTTTAAAAATATTATTTAGTGTTTACTAAATTTATTTTAACTTAAATGACAACATAACCCAAAACTATTTTTAGCTGTTGTATGAAGGGGGGGGGTAAATTGTCCAATCTTGGAAGTTGGAAGATGTAATATTTTTAAATATATAGTTTCTAGATATATAGAAAATCACAAAGTTCAGGAGGGTCAAATGGATTTCACTCTTCTTTTTAGTGTTAGTATAATACTCTTTCTATTCTAAATTATAAGTCGTTTTAGCTTTTATAGATATATAGCTACTGTTATGCACCTAGATATATGTTATATCTAAATATATAGCGAAAACTATGTATCTAAGAAGCCAAATTGGCTTATAATTTGGAATAGATGGAGTATAATAAATATAACTTTATGCTAGTGCCCCTCCAACCATCCAAATAAAGTAATCTCTCTTTTCGATGAGTCAATTAATCTCATGTTTTGCTAGGTTTATAGAAAATAGTATTAACACTTATATCTCTAAATAGTTTTATTATTAAAATTTATTCCGTGATTAATATAGTGATACTTATTATCCACTATAAATACTAGTGTTTTTGTTTGTATTTGCTTAAATTTAAAATTACTTGACTTTTCAAAAAATAAGATTTATATATTTTTTTTCCTTTTTAGGACGGCGGAGTATTTGACCTTTGAACTAAGATTCCTGGCCTCTGCATCAAGAGAATGAACTTCTGGGCTGAAATGGTAGGTCAACAATATGGAGGATCACCGAGACACAGGCGCACGGCCTGAGTTACCTTTGCAACACAAGAACTCGCAAGTGCCAACTCTTCTGCATTTTTTTTTTGTTTTTTTAATGAACTCTTCTGCATTTTTTTTTAATGAACTCTTCTGCATTCGTTGTTTTTCTTTTGATAGACTCTTCTGCATTCTAGTGGCTAATAAGCTAAGCAAGATAGTGACGGTGTGCTTTACTGTAACATCGATCAAAAAGGCCGCAAAGTTTATGCCCGGGGCATATATTCTTTCTGTCCTCTTTATCAGCTTTGGAAGTTTACCAGTCCGGAATCTATTCCCAGTTCCATATCGGCCCACTGATCAGTCACACTCAGACTGGCTGCAACCCAGCGACTATTCGCACACCTCTAGGACCCCTTCGCTCTTTCTGCTTTTAAGATCTGGACTTTCGGTAACAAAAGTGTTTTTGTTTTAGTCCTACAGATTCGAGTTCGTGCGCATCAAAACTTATTCGCTTGTTTATTCAGAACTATTTTTTAGCCATGTAACAGTGTTTTTCTCTCACAACATTTTAATATAAACATTAACATAAGCCAAATTTCAGCATAAGTGAACAGGATGATTAATCATGAGACTACAAAATACTTATATAGTGCAAAAGGATAAAAGAATGTTAAAATAGGCAAACCTTGTCCTTTTCAGCTTATACTAGACATAGAAATGCGCTAATGATGATTAGGACGTGACGGTGTGGTCATTGCATCTGCAACCACGTACGTACCTTGCGACGATCGGACGTAGTTGGCGTTGGTCCAATACCTCACGGAGCACTGCACCAGGTACACGTCGGCGGCGAGCGCCGCGCCGCACGTGCCGTGGACCTGCGCCACCGCCTGCGCCAGGCACGCGGTGCAGTCGGACGCCCCGACGCCGCCGAGGCACTGCGCGACGCCCTGCACGGGGCCCGAGGCGCTCACCTTGTACCCGCCGCCCGACGAAGCCGCCGCGGTGGCGTCCACGCCGCCCTGCAGGTCCGACAGCACGGCGTCGCGGGACCTGAGGAACCAGGCGTCCCCGCTCGTGCCGGCGCTGCACCGGTGGTACGCCGCGGAGGTGTCGTCGGCGCGGCCGACGAGGTTGCGCCGGGCGGCGCCGTACCGCACGTAGCACCCGTCCGACTGCAGCGACGCCGCGGTCGCGCCGGCGCACACCGCGCCGAGCCGCGCCACCGTGTCGCGCACGCACGCCACGCACTCGCCCGGGCGCAGGTCGCCGCGGCACTGGTACAGGCCGTAGGCGGCCGATGCCGCGCTGGCGCCGTCGGCCGTGGCGGACTCGGACTCGGCCTCGTCCTCCGGGCCGGCGCCGGAGGTGAAGCTGCTGTAGGTGGCGCCGGAGGACGCGGTGGATGCCATGGATGCCAGGAGGGAGTTGAGGTTGCTCTCGAACGCCGTGTTGGGCGCGTACCTGGACGGAGAGCACCCTGCGTAAACGAACGTTCCCGGCGCGGCGTCGACGGGGAGGAAGAATACGGCCGCGAGGCAGCTGATGAGCAGGTGCATAGTTGAAGGCTTGAGACCGTTTGCGCTGCCTAGACAACAGTACCTAGATAGGATAGTAGGACATGCAAACTCGCGAGGGATTTCTCGGTTGCCGCGAAGACGTATGTACGTGTGGCAAAGACCGGCTTAGCTCTGTGGAAGCTTCTGGGCCGCATTTGCATGCCTCGTTGCTTTGGATACAAATCGATAGATCTAGATGACTGACGGTTGGTGGCTTGGTGCTGTGATGCTCGATCGCATGGGGGCATCAGAGTTAGCAGGGAAGGTGAATTGGCAGGACGACCAGCACGTTCGTTTGGCTGTGGCTCGTCGTAAACGATCGTAAATTTCCAGCCGGAACAGTATTTTTCTTTCACACAAATCAACCAGCAGTACTTCTTCACAAACCAGCAACGATACGAACCAGCCAACCGAACAGACTGAGAAAGGAGGCAAGAAGCATGAACACGCAAGGAAGGGGGCAGAGGAAGGCTTAATGTGATCTGTTTCTGATAATAGTTGTCCTCCTCTCCCTCACGTTTGCTCTTTATACAAGGCGTTGCCGCGGTGTGAACCCATTGGTGCAGCTGTGCTAGCCTATGGTTCACACCCACTCGCCACACTTGGACGCCTGGTTTGGTCACTCCACCTGGGCTCGGGTGCGCCATGTCCCGTGGTGACCGCGTCCGGCTCCGGTCCTGGAACGCTGTCCTTGGTGGTCATCGCGCCCTGCTCTGGTTCCTCCGCAATGCTGACATCCCCTCCCCGACGAAGACCTTCTTGTCCCCAAGCAGGAGCGCGCAGGAACCGTTGCTTCAGGGTTTCCAGATCTTCCCGGGTAGCCAGTGATCGTGGGAGATTTGACCACTGGACAAGCACCTGCGGAACAACGGCGTGGTCGGTGGTGGAGACACATCGTTGCAGAATCTTCGCTGGAATCTGCAGATTGTCGAGAGCTTGAAGTAGCGCCGACATGGAGTGGGATGTAGGCACCGTCGTCTTGAGTTGGGACACATGGAAGTCGGGATGTATTGCGGTCGCCGCTGGCAGTTGGAGTTTGTAGGCGACATCGCCGACACGTGAGATGACCTAAAATGGGCCAAAGAACTTGAAAGCCACTTTTTGGTTAGCACGTGGCGCGAGAGATGCTTGGATGTAGGGCTGCAACTTCAGGTAAACCCAGTCATCCACGACAAACTAACGCTCAGAGCGAGAGATTTGTCAGCTTGGATCTTCATTCTCTTCTGGGCGCGAACCAGATGCTATTGAATCAGCGTGTTCATCATGGACTTCTGCTTGATCCAGTCATCTAACGGAACCAAATTGATGACACTATCATCAGAGATGCCGATATGCCGAGGGTGATGGCCATATAGAACGTAGAACGACGAATAGCTCAGAGAAGAATGCCATGTGGTGTTGTACCAATACTCGGCCAAGTAAATCTAGTCAATCCACTTGGAGGGGCAAGCATTGACAAAGCATCGCAAGAAGGTTTCCATATATTGGTTAACTCTTTCCGTTTGACCATCTGTCTGCGGGTGATAAACTGAGGACATCTTCAGTGTAACTCCTGCCAAGCGAAAAAAGCTCCTGCCACAGCTGACTGGTGAACACACGATCGCGGTCAGACACAATGGATGTTAGCAGACCATGAAGGCGGTAGACATTAGAGAGGAAGAGCTTTGCCACGGTCAGAGCAGTAAATGGATGGGCCAAGGGTATGTAATGTGGCCAAACCGCCTAATCTAATGCCCTCCCAAGAGTATTTGTCCTCCATTAGACACTAAGTACCCAAGAAAGTGTACTAAATCATGTCGTTCCATCGAACCCACCCACAGGGAGAGCTCGAAAATCCATATTTTTCATTAAGATCATAAATGAGAGAATAAAGCTTACAACATTCTTAACCCTTTCTTACAACATCAGAGTTCTTAAACAAATTGAATGCAACATCAGAATTAAAATTATTTACATGTAAACGAGTTTACACCCTTCAGGTTCACAAGTTTTATCTTGCAGCGGAAAATAGACATATGATCAGAGTTACAGCGGAAACAAAAATTAATTTAATGACATGGTGAAGCATTAACATAGTGGCCATTTATATACAAGATATGCTAGCAGATTTTACATCTTTTCTTATAAAATATTTAGTGAGGGTTATAAATAAACACTATGATCGCAGCGTGAAAGGAATCCTCTCTGAGCCCACTAGAAGGTTTCCACACACGAGAGTCAGCTCTAACATTCACCTGTCACCTGCAATAGGAGGGAATAAAACACTGAGTACTCGATTGTACTCAACAAGACTTACCCGATAGGAGAAAAGTAAAAGACTCCAAGGATATGCAAGGTTTATTTGGCTTGCTGGTTTATTACATTTGCAGGGAGCATTACTAATAGTGCATCCTTATGTTCCAAGTTTTTAGCAGTTATTTTTAGTTAATTAGCTAATCATTCTAGGTAAGTGCCTATGCTTTTTTCAAGCATGTGGTAAGCAATCAGAACCATTTTACCATCTTTCATATTCCTGTTCTTACTATGGTGCTAGACCATAGCCAAGTTGTTACCGTCTCATAGAAACAACGATTCACGAATCAATGTATCCCAGTTGGATACTCCAAAACACACGTCTCGCTTGTGCCCCAGGCACAAACAAGACCAACCTGTTCCACTCCTGTCAAGGGGTCCAGGTCCCTGTCCAAACTTGGATTCCAAGCCCCTAACACCTGAGACCCGGTCTCAGTATGGTGCTTAGACCTCCACCTAATATCCACCCCTAAAAGTCGATCCGGAAAGAGCCAGAACCCATGATAAGAGAGTAACAAGTCTTCCTGCTCCCATAAGCAAGTATGTGCTCAGGATAATAAATCTGTGACCTGACTACCATCCACAGCAACGGTCGGTCCTTAATCGACTCAGACGGGACAAATGCAACCGGAGCCTCGCTTAGTTGCTTAATCAAGTTCAAATCCAAAGTACAATCCCGCCCGATCTCCAATTATCATCCATATATGATAATAACAACAATAATATCTTTCCTATCTCTCACGAGTGACAGTTAATCACTCGACTTCTACTAGGGTCCTATAGCATAGTAGCTACACGATCCTGCCATACTAGTAAGACTCATAGGATAAGGATATATATACAAGTGGTTTTCATTCAACTCCTTAAAACTTAATGCACAAGCATAAAATAAAGTGTAGAATAATAGGAGTTATGCACCGGGGCTTGCTTGGGTAAGATATAACCAGAAGTTAGAATTCCATCATGATGACACGATCATCAAGGCACCATCTTTTCTACTACTCTAGATGACTCCGCGATCCATCGTCGTTCCTATTATATACGTGGATGCAATACATAGACGTAATTAACCAATGGTAACCGCAACTCTTAAAGTACGTTGATGCCTCTCAAGCTAACGAGCTAGCCCTAATAGCTATCATACTAGGCTATGTGTCCATGTTGTCGAATAAGATGTTGTTTCCCGACAAGCATTTTAGTTCTAAAATCTCAGGGTGTTTCTTTATTTTATTTCATTGATTTAATTTATATTCGAACAAGGGCTCCTTAGTTATCTTAGCAAACTAATTATTATGGAGCTACAAAAATTACAGCGAGCACCTCATAATATTAGAAATTTACTGTGAAATTTTAGAATTAACACTTGCACTGATTAATCATAAAAAATTTCTACAAATGTATATTTTAACAATATTACGCATCTCAATTTAATTAGATAACTTCTGAAAATACTATGAAACTATGTGAACAAGACATACTGGCAGATGGATCAGGATTTGAGAAACCTAACAAAATTTGTTTCACAATTTTTGGTCAACTACACAAATTTATATGGAATTTACGAGTTTGCCTTAGAAACTAAGTTAAAAAATGTTTTAGAAAAAAGGAGAACCAGCGGTCACAATTCGGCCCAACAGCCTCTGACTACCCAGCGTGATCGATCGCGTGTCAAGAAGTGCAGCCCAATCAGCCCTTCTGCTTACGCGAGCGTCTGAGCATTTTGCAAAAGAGTCCCCGGCTTATTAGATTACTACGCGACGATTCCGAGCACTATTGCACTAGAGATACATTTTACATCGAGCACCCCCAAAAACCCTACCTTCTCATTGAGTCGGTCCCCAACGCCCTATGCACGACGGCGCGGCTCTGACCGGCACAGCACGGCCATGCCGGCCTACCGAGGGCCAAAAATACGCGTCCATCAGGCCGACGTCAACCCACAGACCAACGCTGTAGGGTCGAGATGGCAACTAGAGGGGGTGAATAGTTGTTTCTAAAACTTAATTGTGTTGGCTAGCCGAAACACGTGCGGAATTAAAACTATCGGTCTAACCAAGACTACACCCCTCTATCTATGTTCTTTAGCACCTTGCAAAAATCCTAATTAAGCAACAAAGGTGCCGGGCTAACTAGATCTCACCTAACCAATTCTAGAAGCAAGATCACACAAACTTATGCCACTAGTATTTCAAGCAATGAGAGAGCTCCTACACATGCTAGTAAGTAAAAGCATAAAGCCAACTAAGCTCACTAGCAATGCTCAATAACAAAGCAACCAATACCAAATTAGAGAGCTCAAATACTTAGCTACACAAACTAAGCAAAGTGACTAACAAGGTTACACAAACTAAATTAGCCACGCAAGGGAGTTACTTCTATGCTACACAAGCAAGAAGGTAACTAGTGAGCTATACAAGCTAACTAATTACAAGAGCAACTACACAAGCACAATGTATATAAAAATAATCACAAGCTTGTGTAAGGGGATTGCAAACCAACGGGAAGAACAAGGTTGACACGGTGATTTTCTCCCAAGGTTCACGTGCTTGCCAACACGCTATATCCCCGTTATGTCGACCGCTCACTTGGTGGTTCGGTGGCTAATTGGCATCACCCGCCAAGCCCGCACGTCGGGCACCGCAAGAACCTACCCCGAAAGTAAGGATAGCTCAATGACACGCTCAACTAGAGTTGCTCTTCGCGGCTCC